CTCACCATGGATCGTCTACGCACTGTCCAAGTGGTGGCTGGATAGCTAGGCCCGATAACGGAGCTGTCCTTGTAGCTAAGGAAGTCCGGGGTATGCATAGTAGGCTCAGCTTCAATCACCGCGCCACTCCGTCTCACGTCAATTTGATGAGTTGGCGGAGGCGTTGTTGACGGCACGGCCCAAAGAGACTGACACCAAAACTGATCACAGATTCCCTTGGCAGAGGCTTGGATTACGCTCGATTCGCTAAGCTGCCACGGTATACACACGACTCTATATGCTTGAGTCCCGGGGTGCACAAAAGGATCTGTAGATGCCTGCATAATTGCATAATGCCCCGGATAGATGTCAGGCATTCAACTAGGAGATTGCAAGTACGGGGTATCCAGAGATGGGCCTTCGCTTGCGTTCTGGCCATACTCCCAAGACCTCCCCAGCTTGAAACTCCCATGGTAACACACGAGGTCTCATCTTCTTGAATCTCTACCAAAGCCATGAGCCCTTTCCTAACATGTCGGGGATAACCGACAAAGTATAAGCACCGGAAGCGGTTAAGTCCGTCTAAGAGACTCTAAGGACATCATCGTTTGCTATAGAGGCAAAATCCTAAACATGATGGGTATATTAATACTTGCCACTAGAGCATATGGCCCCGGTGACTCTGATGGGGAATTGTCAATCTTCGGGGTTAGCTGCAAATCGTCTGATCCCCGATCCCCGAATTGCAATTCATTTGGTTCAGGTTCCTTAATTGAAGGTTCTACTTCTCATAGGCTCGAGTGCCCATGGGAAGACTTCCGGGGCGCTCATTCCCCACTCGCACTTGAGTTCCGGCCTTATACAATGCATAATCCTTGAGCTTTCCATTGATTCTCAATTCAGCTTATACTTTCAGTTTCTCCCCTTCACCATCAACTTTCCCCAGTCTTTTGCAGCTCTCAATCAATCAATAGTCCCCCACAATTCCGGTGTCTTGGGATACTCAATTCATACTCCACCTAACACATCTTCTTGACTGCCTCTGTGGGGATGCAGCAGCATTTCCTCTATGAACGGTGAGAGAAGCTCCATAGTGCTCTGTGTTAGGTATATCTGACATAATGTTACTAGCTTGAAACCTCCCCATACAGTGCCGAATTGTTGAGGTGAACAAAGCTTCTCCACGGAGCAATTGTGCTGAGAAACGGCTAATGCGTTTACAGTGTCCTTTTTCTTCACAATTCGCAACAAATATCGACACAATGAGCAATTTACCGTTCCCGTCTTGGGCAGAGCAGCCAACATTGTTCAAGTTGCCTTACGCTGATACGGAGACCCCGCGTATGGTAAGCGAGCTTTCTACTACACCCTTCTTTCCATCAACAGAAGCTAATTGAAATTGTATGTGTAGGACAATCCCTTACCACACCTGACAGGGAACGATGCAGACCGCTTGGGTACTGGAAAGATGGCCATACCAAGACTTGCTGAAGGTGCAGAGTCTGCTTTCACATCACCAGGAAGGTTTCATCGCCGCCATGTTCGTCGAGCGTGCGAATCGTGCAGACAAAGGAAAACAAAATGCACTGGAGACAAGTCTGGCTGTCGAAATTGCCGAGAAGCCGGGATTATATGCTGCTATACAGATGGTAAACGGGAGAAATCTAAGAGGTGAGATTCTTCTATTGCCAGTTAGAGCAAGTGTGTCGGACTAACATATATGGCTACCTCCAAAGACAACTAGCCAGTCTATCAGCCAAAGTACAGGCCTATGAGGATGTGATCCGGAAACTGAGTAGCCGTTTTGGCGTCTCGGATGAGCAATTGATGAGCATCGCCTTGAACGTGGTATGCCATAAACCCCTTTCATACACTCGAGTATGCCTTTCCTAAGTGGGCACAGGAAGCATCCTCCGATATGAACATGCAGTCAGACGACGCTGCGTCCGGAGATCTGAAGCTACTTCCATGGAACTCTGGCTCTGAATCGCCTTCGCGGTCCTCATCTGTTGGGCCTTTCGAAGTCATGGCTCATACAGAGGAAGACTTCAACAGAGACGAGACCGCGCGTGCCACTGGATTTATTGGCAAGAGCTCCGAGATAAACTGGCTACAAAAGCTGAGCGGAGAAATCAGTCAAGAATACGATGCATGTGACCCTGATATGGCTGATAGCACGGGATTGCCTTCCCCTACCTTGACGCCAAAGGCTGAGGGGAAGAATGACCAATGGGTAGCTTCGTCAAATTACTACATTGACGACCTTGACATACCAGCGACTGAGCAAGTTGATATGTACGAGGTTCCGTCGCGAGACATTGCAACGAAGCTCTTCAATGTCTACTTGGCTTCAGTTCACCCTTCTTTCCCCATAATAGGCATTTCGACATTTGCCTCCCAGTTTCAGGTGTTCTTCAATCGACCATCTTTGAAGCCAGGCAATAAATGGCTTTCAATCTTGAACCTGGTTTTTGCAGTCGCGGCTAAATATGCCCATCTTACTGATGCAAGCTGGAAGGGAAATGAAGATGATCATCATATATATTTCTGCAGGGCCAGAGCTCTGAGTATGGAGGGCCAGCTGTTTCAACATCCGGATCTGCAGCAGTTACAGGTCGAAGGACTGGCTGCTTTCTATTTATTGGCATCGGGCCATGTCAATCGGTGGGTTCTGCGTATCTTTCATTCATCATCTGACGCTGACATTCTTGGCCTAGATCTTGGAAGTTGACTGGGAGTGCCATCCAGGGTGCTTTTGCTCTTGGATTACATCTACGGAATGTAGGTGACTGCACTTCAGACACTTCTAAAGAAATAAGATACCGCGTCTGGTGGTCTTTGTACACCGTTGAGCACCTTCTGAGTGTTCTGACGGGACGGCCTTCTTGCATCGTCGAGAGTACTTGCACGACGCCCCTGCCCGTTCCTTTCGATGAAACCGATTTTCAGAAAGAAGAAGTTTCTCGCCTGATTAGCAGCCCGAACAGAGGAGGACCTAGCCAATTGGCCCGTATTGCTGTTAATTCCAGCACCTCAAGCCTAAAGGCTTCACTGGATTGCAATACCAACGATCCAGCGGCCACAGCTAATCCCAAGGACTCGGATAACAGTGGAAATGAGTACATAAAGAGTCTTCCGCCTTGCATGTCGCTGTATTTCCTGCATTTGACGACATTGACGTCCATTGCTAAGCGGATGACGAACAAGCTCTATAGCCCTGAAGCAGTGCGCGCACCTTGGGCTAGCACCGAGTTCGCCATCCAGAGTCTAATGCTCGAGATTGACTCCTGGTTCATGAACCTGCCTGCTCCGTACGATTTCACATCTACGCAGACATCGCAGTGCCCCACAAGCCAAAAGATGAGTCTCGCATTTCTCTTCTACAGTACCAAAATTGGCATCACAAGGCCGTGCCTCTGCCGCCTGGACTCAATCCGCCCCCAAGGTGACAAAGCATACGACTTCTGCAGCAAAACCGCAGCAGAATGCGTCGAGTCAGCCTGCCACATGCTAACCCTCTTCCCCGAAACCTCCGACACACCCCTCCTATATAAAATGTGCCCATGGTGGTGCATTCTCCACTTCCTAATGCAAGCAACAACAGTCCTCCTCCTCGAACTCTCCTTCCACTCGCAGCACGTCCCCGAAAAATCCTCCACCGTCTCCAAAGCAGCCAGAAAAGCAGTCGAATGGCTCTCCACCATGTCCAAAACCAGCCTCGCCGCTGAACGAGCCTGGAAACTCTGCGACGGCTTCCTGCGTCGCCTCGCTCCCCACATCGGTGTCGACATGAGCGATCTCCCCTGCTCCGGCGACTCAACCGCAGAGGCCTCGCCGGAGGCTAGCTTCGACGCTACTACTTCTGCGGCGAGCGCGGCGGCTGCGGAGAATCTTGCCGCGGAGCTGGATTCTATTACTTGTTCGCCTATGGACCAGGATCAGTCTGGTGGCAGTCCGCTTGCGACGCTGGCGTCGTATGGGCTGGAGCCGCCGGAGTTGTTGGGGTTTATGAAGCCCGAGAAGGGGACGGCGCCTGGTCGAAATGGGTATGAGGGTTATTTTCCGTATGATTCGGCTACGGGGCAGATGACGGGGTCGTTTTTTCCTAATGGGACGAATGTTGATCTCGATTTGGGGTATTTTTGGGGTGATCCGATTTGCTAAGGCTTTTCATCATCCTTCTTATGTTGCAATAAAGGTTGGGAATTATCCAGACTGAAGACCATATAGACAGGACAGGCACAGACTGCATTGTTGGATTTGCATAAGATTGTCACTTATCATCAGGAAGGTTCATTTCTGTCTTTTTTTGTCTATTTCTCTTTTTTGCCCTTCTTCATTTCTATATTTATATTGCACCGTGCATTCGACGACATCATTTTATATATCAGATATAACAGAAAATCTTGAACTAACACCGTTTGTTTCCAATTAAAAAGGCAGAGAGGAAAACAAAAAAGAATTGTTTATCTGTTTGGCTCCCGCAATTCTGATTTGTCCTACTCTAATGTACAGAATGAAACAAGACGAGTCTTATACGACCATCTACACAAAGACGTATATCGACACTCTTATATCTATCTGTCTTCTGGTGTTAATACATACATCACATTAAATCGTCTCTATATACACCCCCTATCTAATCCCGGGATATTCATCCCATCCTATATACTAAACAAAAATGCAGATATATGTACTTCGTTCCATGTACATCATGCAGTGACCAAACTAGTACACCAGCCCGAGCCTTGACCTTAACCTCGATACGGTCAATGCCAGCCCACTCCAATCCACTCAAGCCAAGAAGTCAAATCTTCCAAGGACGCGCAATGCCAAATACAAATAATGATGGAACGAGCGGAAGCCCGGACCGTTATCATACCATATCATCGTCATCGTGTCAACAATTGGAAAGGAAGAGGAACAAAGACGGGAGGATGCTCCAAAACGACAAAAGATGAGAAGTAAGGTGACGTTAATCGAATGTAATCCAGGAGCTGACCCAGAAGCTCCGGGGGACCCTAAGCCTCCCAATGCCGTTTCTTCGCGGTAAAGAATAACCGCGCATCTTCTTCCTGAGAGGCAGTGCGCTCCGAGGACGGAGGCGAGTAATGTATCCCACTAATTCTCGAGAGACGTACATCGACTTGCTGCGCTCGTCTCAGGGATCGATTCGTCCACGATCTTGCAGAAAGCGGCACTCTATTATTCTCTTGTCGTAGCGAGACACCTAGTAAACCCCTGCCATCACCAACAAACCGCTCAACACAATCCAGGGAAGGGATGATGCGTCGTCTGACACCGCAGCCTGTGTGGTTGGGGTCGATTTGGTAGTCTGGGAATTGTTTTATGGAGGCGATGATTGCTGTTATGTCAGCTGGTGGTCCGGCTGACACCGTAGTTTGTGGTACACCCTCATCATCAGAATCCACCGTAAAATCCGGATCAAGAAGACTCGATCCCAAGAAAATTGTCTTCGTGCGGAGCGCAAAAAATCGGACCATTTGTCCTAGATGGAACGCATCGCAAGCGTTGGAGTTGCCCATTCCGCAACGACATTGGAATTCGCGAGGACGGATTGTTGTCGATGTTGCGGGTACTGTTACGGGGTGGTTTGTAGTTGATGGTTTGGGGCCGGTTGTTTCTTCGAGGGCACCGTAAGCGCGCAGGAAGTAGGCTTGAAGATCTGTGATTGTGTTAAGGACGTATTGGCGTCTGTGGAATAGTTCTTCTGCAAAACTGTTAATACCCGTAGAAAAACAGGGGTTCGAGAGGATTGAGGATGGATACCTTCGAGACCATCCGCGAAGTACTGCCACCGAAAAGTACCATCTTCAGGATCCGAAGGAGCTTCAACTCCATTAATCCAATACTTTGATCCAAGCACAACCAATGTATGCGTCATGACCTGATAAACAGTTGGTTCATCGAGAAAGTGCGCAATGTATATAATATGTCGAATACGATCCTCGCTCATTTTCAACAACGACTGATTGAACTTCGTCACCGAAACCCTCCCCTTTCCATACGCATATCCCGATCTTTTAAGCGCTTCTCGGACAACCTGTGGGGAATTAAACGTATCCGCAAGGTGGATTAGTCTGGCGATGACAGATGGAGGAAGTGGTTTCAGTGCATTATTGAAAACGCGCTTTTGCGTGTTTCCCAGAGACGGGTAGGATAGGACCCTGAGGAAGAGCTCAATGGTGTTTACACCAAGGCGCTGGGTGACTTCGTCCACTGAGAGGCTGAGAGTAGGGATTGCCCTTAATGCGTCCGCATCAGAGGACAATAATGGTGATAACATCGACAATGGATCTGTTGCATCTCCATCATCATTTGTCCTTGATTCTGCAGCTACAGCAATCAAGTCTGCCTTTTGCTTCATGAAATCCCTCCCCTCAGAGAATTTATTCGGATCAAGCAAAGCCCGGAAATAAGGACTGTTGTGTATCAAGTCCTCACTGGCGACTAGCCACCGAGATATAGACGACGCAGAAGGGAGCCCATCCTGGTCCCGATCCGCATATTCAACAATCACATCCCCGTGACTTGATATGACCATCACATACTGTTGGGACTCATTTCCCGAAGTAGACTCCCGTAGTTGTTCCTCAGACGAGACAGACGGAGCGTTGGTGTCGGCCGCTTCGCGGAGAGGCAAAGTCTGAACAGACGGAGATCCAGCCTCCGATCCAGAGCCAGGGCCTCTAGATGGTGGTAATGGAGGATAGTCAGAATTCATATCCGAATTGGAAGTCAGAGGAGACGGTTGTCTTGTTTCCAGTGTATCTGTCTTGGAATCTTGGGAGTCCTATGTGCCAGTGTTGATGAGGTGGCGGATGGCATTTGAACGAGATTTAGACAGAGTTGCCGTTTTAGTGGGTTCGTGCGATATATCAGATTTCCATGCGCAATTTGGCATTAACAAGCCATACTGCTAGAAAGTGGCGGCGTGGCGGGGATATCGCGTTAAAGGACGACGTTTAAATGGAGATAAAGGGGAATTCGATCCTGGTGGCCACTTAAAGCTCATATAAAAGACAGTCGCGCAGATGAAACGAACAAGAATCACGAGCAGTACACATGGCCAGTTCATGAAGATTTGACGTCGATGTCAAAATCCACATTCGGTAATCATATCATGTGACTTCACGGTGGGTTCCAATTCAGGAATCAAAATAGTAAACAACAGACTGTTATTACTGAGAATGGCTGTTCTGTTGAAATATTCATATTTTGAGTGCAGTATATACTAAAGGTATCAATGACAATGCCACCCTCGATAATCCACCTAAGAAACCAGAGAACCAATCCAAACATTTTTCATAAAACACAAATCGAAAGAGAAAAGACAAAACCCGAAAGCACAGAGAGCATCGTAATATGCTTTCCATAGACATGTCGAAGAAAAAAAAAAAAAAATTATAAAGGATGGCTGAAAAATATGTATTTACTTTGACAGAAGTAAAATATCCAAAAAAGAGAAAAAAAGAAAGGAAAGAGAATCAAGGTAACGACACAATAGGAATGTGCATAACCCTGGGTAGTTTCCTTGTGTCATTGTTCGTTTGTTCGTTTGTTACCTCGTCGTCATCGTGGATAGCATCCCGCATCTTCAACGCTTGTCCAACGATCGATTCGAGTTTCGTTGACAATGGGTTGAACACGTCGGCAGACGAGGTGTTGACTACAGGCGTAGTAGGGCTCAAAGGCTTGTTGTCCTCATCTTCGCTGTTGTAATCCTCGAGGTGCTTGCCATGCATTTGGTTGAGTCGGTGGGAGATGATCGAGAACACAGCAAGGTGATAGGGCTTATCTTCGTCCCAGTCATTGACTGGCTGCTGTTCTTGAATCAAGTCGTTGTCATATTCAGGCATGTCCATATCCAGAAGGTCCTCTTGTTGAGACACAAGATGCCATTGCCCTGCCGATAAGAATCCAATGACGAAATCTTGGTTGGCGCGAGCGGCAGCTATGCAACTTCTTCTGTAGTCCGTAGTAAAAGCGTCGGTATATTCAGAAGGCAAGCACAGCACTAACCCACGCGCCAAGAGTGGAGGGGGAGGAATCGCATCGTCATCCGGGGTGATGGATGGTCGCTTCTGCCCGCCATTTACAGAAAGGTGGTCTCCCACCTCAGACTTGTCGGACTTGAGCGAAATAAAGTCTTCTGTCGAGTCCTCGGTGTGTTGTGTGATAGTCTGAGTAAGAGAGATTGTAGAGGCTTTCCGTGGTGGTAAGCCTAGGTTCTCATCATCGACGACAACGTAGTCGGAGGTGAGATGTTGCGGGTCATCATCTTCAGCGTTATCGTGGCCCGGACGGCCATTCGGCGATTTTTCAGCCGTAATTTCTGTCCGGATAGTTTGTGTAGTATTGGCAACAGTTTCCCGCGCGGCCGCTTTCAGGGCCGGAATCAGAATGTCGGCTTCCTGGTTGTCCTCGGCAACACCAGACGCCCACGCGGTCGCAATCCCCGCCCAAGCAGCGGTCTTAACAACGCCCTTGGTGTATTTTCTCCGGACCAAATCCACCAATTCATTTCTCACTTCTTTCGACTCCGAAGTGCCAGTAACTTCAACAGTCGAGTTGAGAATGCGACCTCCTTCCCAGACTAGGAAGGCGTGCTGCTTGGCCAGTGCGATCAATTGACGGACCGTGTCGTCGGACCAGTCGTCAATAATGTCGGCAAAGACCTTCAGAATAGCAATGTGGGGACCAATGGACGATGCCAGCTGGACCAGGGCATTTGTGGTGGTGATAGTGTGAGAGGCACAGACGCAGACGGGAATATTATGAGGGAGGCCCTTCTTGGTTTCAGTCAAGGTCTGGAGGTAGGAAATTAAGCGATTCCCGGGGAAGGTGAACGAGTCGGACAATGGCGATTCCATGGTGAGACAGGAGGGAGGAGAGGATATTGAGGTTCGAGGGAGGGGGTATATAGTTGTAACAGAGGTCAATCGATGGAGAGGTTAACGAGAGTATAGAGAGAGAGAGAGAGAGAGAGAGAGAAAGGGAGACAGGGAGACAAGGAGAAGATGTAGTGAGAAAAGAAGATGAGGAAGAGAGAGGAAATGAGGCGGGAGGGTGTCGTGTGTATATTAAAGCGAGAAGGCCTGGGCCGAGACCGAAGGATTGACAGGTGGCCAAAGAGACTTCACTCAAGACCGTCAGCAGGGATGTACTTGTATACAGGTACACAAGTAGAAGGAGAGGAGGTTGAATATATATGAGTCTGCGCCTTGTAACAATTATTGCCGCCGGATAGTAGGAAGATTCACAAGAATAGCCAGATGCAGACAAAGCGCCCAATGCGTGCAGCACAGCAAAACTCAAATGTTTCTTTTTGGGGCGACAGATCAAACGGTTGATTGATTGATTACTTGTAAATAGATCGGGGGTCCTTGTCCAGGTCTATATACAGTACTTGTAAAGAGGTACAAGTACTACTGTCCCCCTGGTCTGTCAAGCTTTCCTTTCCCCTTTCCCCGATCACCCAAACAGCGCTGCTACAAGTGTATTCTGAGAGAATGATCGACCTGAGAGAGTGAAAAGAGCAATTAACATGATTTTACTGTAATCACGGTGTATTGCTCCCATTACAGGGGCAAAATGCACTGCACACCGGATCCGCCCGGTCGGAACGGGTATCTCCTGTGTACTTCCGGTATTGGAGTCTAGCTGGAAACGGTAACTTTAAGTTCTCGCCTGACTCTTGAGTCTTTCGGATAATAATATAACAACAAAGCAAAGCAAAGAAAAGCATAAAAAAATTGCTAGGAATGGATTGGTTTTGGAGTCTGGATCTTCTTTTTTTCTTTTGTCGTATTTGCCGTATAATACTAACGTTCTCTTTTGCTTTTTTTGTCTGGTTGTGCACAAGTACTACGTACTGACTGGAGCTCCCGAGGAACTCTATCCCTGAGGAGTCTCACTACAAGGTACTAACCACCGAGTACGGCCCAACGGAAAAGCAAGAAGGGTACGAAGCTAGTATCTATCCCTCCAAAAAAACAAAGAATAAGACCAGTCACACTCTGACCATCCAATATATCTTGACGTACACGCCATGGCCCGAGTACGGAGCTCTACTTCCGTCTCCAAACAGACAAAAGTCCATGTGACGGCTCCAAATAAGTTGATTCCCACAGAGATCATGCTGCAGCTTCTGGTGCAGCTTGCAGACGGGATCATCAGTCCCGTCAATCGGGACGCTCTCGTTGGTCACCGGCATCGGATTCCTCGACAGCCTTGGATCTGACTTTCGGACGACCCCGATTTTTTTTTTTTTATGTACGGAGTTCAAGGCTGCATACGGGATCTCTATCCAGAGTTTCATGTGCATATACTTTCGTGCAGAGTGTACAGAATGGTAATCGGGATCGCGCAATGGTCGCGATATTGCTAAATTTGTAGCTGTGCATCCAAAGGCACATACATATGTGCGCGAGAAGTATGTACTCTGTACGAAGAGTATGTACGTGGTACAGAGTACGTACTCGGTACTTTGGAGATTCGATCCGGGAAATACTTTGCAGGAGGGAGAATCATCCGCTATTTCCGCCCATGTTCCGCCGTACTAATGGCTCTTGGAAAAAAAAAAAAAAAAAAAAAAAAGAAAGGAGCCTATACGAAAATTAATCTAATTAAAAATTAGCCTATGGACTCAGCTCAGCGCCTTGCTCTCCGGCAACTCGGTTCATCCTAACTGGAGCTTAGCTCTCAGTACTATCGGGTACGTACCTCCGTACTCCATACTTTGCCTGTACCGAGATATGTATCGCCCAATCGAACCGAGTCAGTGTCAGATTATTGACGGCTCCGTTCCAATTGGGCAGTTTGAATTACCAGTGAGCCAATTGACAGCTTTAGGATTGCAAGCTCAGGGTCATCCTTTTGGAGCATTCTGCACACAAGCGAAACCAGGCCAAATCCCTTAACGCATAGTCTATCCGTAGGCACCCGTTTGCTGGTCTGTTCTTTTTTTTTTTTTTTTTTACGTTCATCTAACTTCTCCGTACTTTCTCCGAATTTTCAGCTGTCTGGAGGTCTCTATACGAGTACGGAGGCACTCCGCGGACGCCTCCTTCAGCTATTTTGAACACCTGCTGCGCCTTGCCTTGACGTTTCAATGTGGCAATATGAATGCCTTCATACTTTGGAGTACTTGTAGATCCCGAAATAAACCCGTTGCGCTTTGGTCGCTTGAACGGGGTCGGCTCTTGCAACGTCCCAACCGTCTTCAACTGACGGGAGTTGGCGGTGTCAGACGTTCCAACAGTCACTGGTGTCAATCTAATTGAATGACATGCACTTATGTGGTCCAGGGGAGCGAGCATTGCACCAATACCACTCAGTGTGATACGCCCCAGACATCAAACAACCCCAGACAGGCGTAAATCTACCCTGTCCCAGCTAGTGATTCGAAAATGATTCTCTTACGACGGCTGCCTCGATTATTTGACATTTTCGTGGCATTTCCCCTGGCGCCGCTTTAAAGCGGGCGCTGGTAGATTTCCTAAACGGGTAAAGCGCAAATCTATCTATAGTCTCAACGCTTCCATCATGGCTTAATACCTGACAAATAACTATGGAATAACCATTCAAACGCCCAAGAGACCAGTTTGAATGTACGCGGTACCAAGTCCAAGCATCAGACCAATAGGTCACCTGAGTTCTGGAACCAGCTTGTTCGAGGACCCTGAAGAGATAGAAAGAGACTACACAGGCTTAAACCTCATGCAAGCTTCACAATCCCACTACGGGATGGAATAGGAAGCCAGCATGAAATCTTGTCTCCTCCAAATCGAATGGATCAGCTGTCGGACTCTTCGAGAATACCGCTGGTTCATGTTTTCGGCTCTTACCTACTTACTTCTACCTACTTGTACTCACTTCTACTTCTACTTCTACTTGCTTGTATTTAATGTCGGGCTATAATCGTGATTAGTCGGCAGGCGTATCACCCCACCAAAACGTCTCTATTTATGATGTTTCTTGTCTTTATGTCCACAGCTTTTATAAGTGATTATATTTGATTATTCCTCCTGTTACTACCAATCATTTCTGTTTTTGTAGCATCTTAGTGTGTACAACGACTCGCGCTATACAGAATTGCCTCGGATAGCCTTCTATACCTTTTCCGTCAAGCTTGCTATAGAAAGGAGGGACTCTCGAAGATGGCAGAGAAGAGCGAGGTGATACCATTAGATGACAGCATCGCACATGATGCAGAGGCACTCAGAAAGCTCGTCCAAGAAAAGGTCTGAGAATAAAGCTGCACTGCTTATTTTCAATAATATGAATTCTAAGTTATATATCTACAGGTCAAAAGAAACGTCACTTTGGACGAGGAATGGATAGTTGGTGAGAGCCTTGAGACAATAGATCCGTCAATACCCACGGTAATTATACAAAAAAAAAAACAGTGCTTGGGGTGCTCTCAGGGTTATCGCCAGCCCTGCTGTGTTAAATGAAGTTTCAGGGCCGGAATTCAGTCTTCATATCTCAATGATAATCATCAAGCCTGGCGACACAGGCAGGATATACCGAACCCCGTCAATTCGATATTTTCATTATGCCGTTTAGGTCCTGTATCGTTCTGATGTAACCAACCAGGGCATCGCTCGCTTTTAGGGAAAGTTCAATCCTTGCCGTTCTTTGCGCATCTAGGTTTATATCGATTGACGGTACATTTGAATATACAAGATCCTGCATTGCGATGAATGTATTTTTTGATATAATTTGAAAGATATAACGCAACAGTCATTTACATGAAGGCCTTACTCTATTTGCTTTTCCTTCTTGGTCTTGCCCGTCAGGCGTACTTCTATTCGTATACTGCCACCACTGAATTGTGTGCCGTCCTTGTAATCAGTATTCTGGCTTTGTGTATTATAAGAAGTAGCTAGCTTGCGTTAATCAATTCGTTTCTTACTGTCGCTAGATTTGCATACCCCTCGCTGAGTTGGAGTAGCGGAGCCAGAAGAGGACTCTCAACCATTCGCCTCATACCAAAATTCTTTCGTAGAATCCGGAATGGTTATCCGAGCTCGACACATAAGAGATAACAACAACCGGGGTCTGCTCTTGCAACGTTCCAACAGTCACTGGGTGTCAGTGTCTAACCTGTTCCTGAAACGGATGTCAGGGGTATGCTCCCGAAAAGGGTTTAGCGTGGATTTATCAGAAAAATCAGATGATCTGTTGTTGTTGAGTGATTACCAACCATACCGTATCAGGCCACAGTTTCTCCAAATTTTTGAGGCCTCGTGCGACCTACGGAGTACATACTGCTCAGTACTGCTGTCTCTCGGTGTTTGGTAAATAGAAAAGAATAACCGCTGCTCCCATTGGCGGACGAGAAAGAACAGTCAACGCCGAAAATTTGCGGATCGGACGGACCCGTGATAATTCCATCGACCGCTCACGCCACTCCGTCTCCGATCTTTTATTTTTCCTTCCTGCGCTTCCTCCTACCTCGCCTCATTGCATCCTGAATACTAATCCACCATCCCAACTTTTCGCCGCTGTACCAACGTGTCCTTCCGAACGTGATCTAGCCAACTCGTATCAACACACCGGGATTTGCTGTCTTGCCTCCTTTTAGCGACAATGCCGGGAAGAATCCTGCCAACGCTGACCCAAGCTGAGGTCGAGTCGCATAACAACGCCAAATCATGCTATGTGACTATCGGTTCGAAAGTTTACGATATCACCTCGTTCGTCGACGATCACCCTGGTGGAGGCGATTTGATTCTCGAATATGCGGGCAAGGACGTGGGTGAGATTATGAGCGATGTGGTGTCTCACGAACATTCTGAGTCGGCCTACGAAATCTTGGAGGACAGCCTAGTTGGCTTTGTGGGCACTGGCTCTTCGACCAAGGCGAATGCGAATGCGAATGGAGCTGCAAGCGCGGAGGAACAAGCACGGGCTGTCTATGAGAGCACGGGCATGTCGACTGAGGAAGACTTGTCCATCGAGACGGATATCACCATAGATTACCAGCAGCACAAGTTCCTTGATCTCAACAAGCCCTTGCTTATGCAGCTGTGGACTAGCGGCTTCAGCAAGCAATTCTATCTCGAGCAGATCCATCGTCCGCGTCACTACAGGGGTGGTGACTCTGCACCGCTCTTTGGCAACTTTTTGGAACCTCTCAGCAAGACGGCGTGGTATGTCGTTCCGATAATGTGGCTTCCGTGTATCGCCTACGGTACCACCGTTGGCCTTTCGGGCATGTCCAGTGCATCCGCTGGTGCTGGCTACTGGGCTTTCGGGCTCTTCTTCTGGACTCTGATTGAATACGTGATGCATCGGTTCCTGTTTCACATTGATGCGTATGAATACATTTTCCTTAACCTGTCTGCTCTTCTCTAACATGCTCTTATCAGACTTCTTCCTGACAACCGAGTCGGTATTACTCTGCACTTTCTCCTTCACGGAATCCACCATTACCTGCCGATGGACAAATACCGACTTGTGATGCCACCAACTCTGTTCGTTCTTCTCGCCGCGCCGTTCTGGAAATTTGCGCACTCTGTGATCTTCTATGACTGGTACGCCGCTGTGCTGGCGTACTGTGGTGGTGTCTTCGGATACGTTTGCTATGACATGACGCACTATTTCCTCCACCACCGGAAGTAAGTACATTCCCGGCTTATTCCCAAGAATGCATGCTAACAGATTACTGTGCAGCCTCCCATCGTACTACAAGCCGCTCAAGAAGTATCACCTTCAGCACCACTTCGCCGATTTCGACAATGGTTTCGGTGTCACCAGCCGCTTCTGGGACAGAATCTTCGGCACAGAGCTTGAGACTCCAGCACCGTCCAAGATTGTCAAGACCCAATAAGCGCATACTCGGGGTTGATAAATGACTTCTCTCGCGCTCTGAGCGTCGTACAACCTTTATTCGTGCATATGACCTAATGATGGGTTTACGAATGACCCAGGCTTCGACTATTGTCATTGCTTTTCACTAATTGCTTGGCATTTCTAGTTTATTTCTTGTACAGCAAGCCCTGTCTTTGCTGCCGTGGACAGTACATGACCACGGTTGTTTTGTTTGGGTTGATTTTCCTGATTATAGCATCCATACGAGTGTATATGACAACCTAATGTATAATAGATAACATTGCCAACTCTTTCTTGCTTGAATGCCAGTACTGTACCCCGTAGACGTTGTATACAGAGCAGGGAGAACCGGGTCGGGGTAGAGAACGCCAAGAGTCATGTGACCGGACTACATTTTCGCCTCCACGGAGTTGTCCTTTCCCTGAGACAACGTCCACACGTACCATCTTCGCCGTAAACCAGCCTTAGTTACAACCTTTTCTCGATAAACCGGTATACAAGTGCAGAGCCACTCTGAAGGGAAAAACAGAGAACAAAACTTGGTGATTTGAAATAGAAGGGTTCGCGCAACTCACGCCCGATTCGCCGCCACTCTCTAACGCCTGAAAAAAGTGATCCAACCCTCTCCGCGCTATCTCCTCGTTCCCCCAGCTTTACTCCGGAAAAGAGGAGTCATTTTCCTCCAAAAAAAAAAAAAAAAAAAAAAAAAAAAAACCACCCGTCAATATGTCAGGTCTTGACGTTGAAGCTCTTCTCGAGTCCACAGCCGCACCACCCCCTCAAGATCCCACTCAATCCCAAGACCGCGACGATGACCGCTCCAAGTCCGAACAAAGCACCGACCGCCGCGACCGTGACCGCTCACGAGAAAGGGAACGCCGCCGCCGAGACCGCAGCCGTCGAGATGCCGATGGAGATGAAGAAATGAAGAGCCCGAGAAGCGAACATGGCAGTGCTAACGGAAGCCATAGAAGCAGCAACAGAAAGAGGAGCAGGAGCCGCGACAGCCGTCGGGGGTCTCGCAGAGACCGCGGTGACCGCTACGGTGACGATTACCGCTCTGGTGGTGGTGACTTTTACCGTGGTGGGGGCCGCGCGCGCACTCGTTCTCGCTCGCCTTTTGATGATCGATACTATCGCCCCTCGGGGGTTCGTCCGCGTCGGGATGATGATGAAAAACGCTACCGCCGCCGTGATAGCCGTAGACGCAGCCCGACCCCTAAAGGTCGTGACAAGACGCCCGAGCTTACTGAGGATGAGCGCGATAGGCGCACCATCTTTGTACAGCAGCTTGCCGCGCGGCTGAGAACCAAGGAATTGATTGCGTTCTTCGAGAAGGTTGGGCCTGTTAAGGAGGCCCAGATTGTCAAGGATCGTGTCAGTGGAAGGTCTAAGGGGTGAGTTCTATCTCTCCCATTTACGGTCAGAGGATATCAGACTAATACTCTCGTCTAGTGTCGGCTATGTCGAATTCAAAAACGAGGAGTCAGTCCCACAGGCTATTCAACTTACTGGGCAAAAGCTTCTAGGAATCCCGATTATTGCGCAGTTGACTGAGGCGGAAAAGAATCGACAAGCTCGCAACCCCGAGGCTACCAGTAGCAATAATCACGGGGCACCCTTTCACAGGTTGTATGTGGGTAACATTCATTTCAGTATCACTGAGAGTGACCTCCAGAATGTCTTTGAGCCGTTTGGCGAACTTGAATTTGTTCAACTGCAAAAGGATGAAACCAACAGGAGTAGAGGTTATGGTTTTGTGCAGTAAGTCCCCTATGTCCTATGATGGCCTAGGTCCCTGATCTAATGCGTATAGGTTCCGTGATCCCAACCAAGCCCGTGATGCACTTGAAAAGATGAACGGCTTTGACCTTGCTGGTCGGGCAATTCGCGTTGGCCTTGGAAACGATAAGTTTACCCCTGAGGCGCATCGTAGCCATAGTGCAGCCCCACCACCGATTTTCCAGGGTTCTTCATTCTCCGGTCAGGGAGGACGTGGTGTCCAGGCTGGTGGCTCCAACAACTTTGACCGTGCTGGCGGCCGGGAGAACGAAAAAGGAGCCGGTGCTAGTGCTCTCGATGATACAGACGTTGCGGGTGTGAACTTCAACAACTTCAGTAGGGACGCATTGATGAGGAAGCTTGCAAGAACAGATGAACCTTCCGAGCCTGCTGCCGATGACAAGGCCAAGATTCTCCGACCTAAGACTGAGACCAAGCCGTTGCCTGTTAATGTCAACATGGCAAGTCGTTGTGTCATGCTTCGCAACATGTTTGATCCTACAGAGTAAGTTATGTATCCTCCCCGAGATTATGAGAACAAACTTGCTAACAACTAACAGGGAAGAAGGCGAAGTCTGGATCAAAGAGCTGGAGGATGACGTCCGCGCTGAGTGCGAAGATAAATATGGTCATGTCGTTCACATTTCCCTAGATCCGAACTCGCAAGGCGATATCTATTTGAAATTCGACCGTGTCCAGGGTGGCGAGAACGCCATCAAGGGTCTTAATGGCCGATTTTTCGGTGGTCGCCAGATTACCGCGCAGCCCGTCGTCGACGCTGTCTACAGCAGTCTCTTCTCCCGCACGAAGGCTATCTAATCTTCATCACCTTCTACCAAAGCTTTTGGCTTTCCACAATGGTGGTAGGTATCTGATCTAATTGTTAATTAGGCGTTTTTACCTCTCTATAGTACCTCTGAATAGCTTGGCATGTTGAGCGTCTTGCTACGCTTACCTTAGTTGGATTACTGTGCCCCTGGTAGGTGCCGAGTCCTTTTTACACTTCTGTTGTTTACTTGTGTGAAGACATTTTGTGCAATGATACTTGTTTATAGGGGTTCGATTCGTATCCTTGCTATCTTGATTGGCGTGTGTGTTTAGTTTAGTGAATTATACCTATTCTGTTTACGGTGCTCCAAGTTAGCCCTAGAACTACTGTAGTCGGATGCCTCAGCTCAGAGTTTCGAATATGCCCCACGAGTCAAACGGTTGAGCTGCTACTGTTTGACCCAGGTCCTGGTGATGATGGCGTCTCCCCTCCATTGAACAAAAGAGACAAACCCAGCCAGGCAGTTAACCGTGGCCATTCACTCACAATGGACTTGATGAATTCTTTATTCCAGGCCTCTCACTGTTTGCCCTCTTTTCTCTTCTATTTCATTCTCCCCCCTCTCGTCGTCCACCTCTTCTCTTTTTGTAAATCTATCCTGAGAACTCACCAACACAGCTCTGCATCTGACTGCTAACCTGTTAGTACAAAACATCCATCTCTATCAAACCACTCTAACCAAAATGCTCTCCACACCAGTCTAGCCCAGCCTCTGGCACCCGACCCCCACCATGCTCACAGTCTCACACCTCTCCACCTCCAACGGCACCACTCCAAGCACAACCCCAAACCCCTCCCTCAGCCGCAGCCACCACTCCCGAACATCCTCCTCAACCCCCGCAACCAGCTTCAGCGCCTCCCAGCAGCACACCCACGACCTCACCCTCGAGATCGAATATCTCCGTGCCCACCTGCACAGCACGCAGGAGACGCTACAGACTGTCTATATGGAGCTGGAGGACTCAAGGGCGCGGATTGCGCAAGATACGGTGCTGATTGGCGGGTTGCAGGAGAAAGTTCTGGAGTTGCAGGCGCTGGTGCAGAAGCAGAAGGTCACGATCAGTAATCAGAGTAAGACGATTTCGGACCCGAGGATTATTAGAAAGCAGTCGCAGCAGCAGCAACCACAGCAGGTTGCTGGTTGTGGTAATGGGGCTGCTGTGCCGATGACACCGCAGCGGCATGGACAAGGACAAGGACAAGGACAGTGTCAGGGTTTGTCGCCGTTTGAGAGTCCGTATTCAACTAGGTCTGGTTTTTCTGGTGCTTCTGGCACGTCTGGGGTTGAGGTTGGGGTTGAATATTTCCCTCCACCTCCTATGTTCAACGTTAATGGTAATGGCGCTGTCCCTAGGTTTCCGGGACAGTGCCAGGATCAGCATTTATCTGAAGTGAACCCTCTTCCTATACCCTCGATCTGGGATCCTCTTTCTTGGTCCAATGGCAGTCCGTACGCCGCTGCGTATCTCGATCCTACGACTTGCATTGCAGAATTCTCCTCTCGACTTCGCGAGCTGTGGACCAAGACAGAGCTGTTTGGTCAGGTCCATGCGAATGTTCCCAGCATTTACAAGGATAGTCATCTGGACAAACGGGTGAAGGAGTATATCATGTCTGTGTCGGATAGACAGGGAGCGTCTTCCCTGCTGGGTAGTCCTGCAACGCGATTCTTCCTTGTCGCCAAGGCGATTAATGCGTTTCTGGTGCATGATGTGCTGAAAGTGACTATTATCAAGGGCTTCGATGCACAGGCGGATATGGAGATTGGTGGTATTAAAAAGCAGCTGTTCCCAGGTACCCTCCTTCCCCTTCTCCAACCACCAAAGCACATTAGCGCAAGCTAACATGCTCGTCGATTAAAAAGATACACCCACCCCCATCCGCCACATAATGATAATAGCCATGACAACCAAAATCCAAACCCTCAAAACAAAGTCCAACTTCATCGACTTCTGCCAGCAAAAAACCCGCGACCACATGCAAAAACTCTGGCACCTCATCGGCCCCCTAACCACCATCGACCCCCCCACCGGCAACAGCCAAGCCTGGACGGATCTCTCAGCCATCGTATCAGAGGCTGAGATGCTCGCGCTGGATATGTACTCTGTGCCGTTCGAATATCGGTCTGAATTCCCCGCTGTGAACGAGGCTTTTGATCCGGCTACGATGGTTAATAGTGATGCGTTTGTTACGGGGGATCCGGTTGTTTTGGCGGGGAGTGATTGCCGGGTTAGGTTGGGGGTTACGCCTGTTGTTAGGGCGAGGGATAATTCGGATTGTGAGGTGGGGGTTGTTAGAGTTGTTAGTATGGGGAATGTGTTGCTGAGGATGGGTGGACATAAATAGGCTCTGTCTGGATGGTTTCGGGATTTTGATGATTTGATTCTTCTTTTTTGATTTGGTTGGAAAAACGCGATGGTTATTTGATTTTATGTTGATGCGGGTTGTTTATTCCTTGATTGAACGTTTTGTGGGCTTGTGCTTTTCGTTCATTGATTTATCTGATGGTATTCTGGGATAGAGCTTATGATCACGAATGATGAGTTTTGTATTGATTCTACGCTGTGACTCAGGGGTCACATAGAGTCTCTGTTCAGATCGAAGACAAATGATTTTTGACACCGTCTAGAGTATAGAATCCACGCAAAATATACAACGCATTTATGATTTACCAAGCTCTACCCGTATCAAATCCAACCCACAAATCAAACCTTCTCAATATGCCCCTCCCCAGCACCACTCTTAATATCCTCCTCCATCTCCCCCTTTGCCTCCCCCCTAACCATACCCACAACACTAACCCGCCCATGCTTCCGCCTCTCCTTAGCAATGTCCTTCGACAGCTGAACAGGCCCCTTATCCGGGTTCGTAAACAGATAGTCAATCTCCTCGAGCGTCATATTGGCTGTCTCGGGGTAGAAGAAGTAGATGAGTGGCACGAAGGCGAAGTTCGTGCACATGAAGATCAGATACGCTTTCCATTGGAGGCGGTTGATGATGACGGGGGTTATCATCACGACGAAGAAGTTCTGGCTCCAGTTAGCAGATCTCTCAGTTATATAGGAGAATGGGGGTGACATGCCCAAATCCAATTCGACGAAACCCCAATAGCAGTCCCCTTCGTCCTCGCATGCAACGGCAAAATCTCCGGAACATAGCACCACGGAATACAATTCACCGACGCCCCAAAAATCAACATATACACAAAGAAAAACGACACCGCCGCCGACGACGTCGCATGCTCATTCGCCTGCCCTTTGAAACTAAGTAGTATAGCCACCATCATCATGCAGATACCCAGCCCAAAGGATCCCCACATCATGGGCTGGCGGCGGCCGACGCGGTCGACGAAGATGGTAGGGAAGAGGGAGCCGAGGACGAACATGATTTGGACACAGCCGCCGATGATTTGGGAGAGGTTTTTGGAGAGGCCGACGTTTGTGTTTAGGACGGTGGGGATGAAGTAGACGACGAGGTTTACGCCGCCGACTTGGTTCATGAACTGCATGCCGTAGGCGAGGAGGCTGGTATGGTCAGTGATGTCTTATGGGGGTGGGTTTGGGGGGGGGGGGGACGTACACTCTGTAGCCAGTTGAGACTTCATCGCGTTTGAGGATGTTTCTGTGCAGGTTAGTCTTGTACTCAATCCAGGCATCTATCAAACTCACCTCCACTTGAATCCCCCATTTTCTGTCTCCACTGCAATCGCGTCCAGAATCTCCGTCTGCTCAGACTGAATCTGTGGGCCATCTTTCGGTTTACCATACACATCGCTGAGAATCTGCAATGCCTCCTCGTTCCGTCCATGTTGGTAGCAAAACCGTGGCGATTCAGGGAGCCCGAAGACAAGCACGATGACGATCTTCAACTATTAGACTATGCCACAGGACGACAACCCTAGAAAGGCGAGACTCACAAAAGCCCAAATCATCTGACACGCAATTGGCAACCGCCACGCAATCTGCCCTCCAACGAAACTCATCCCGTAATCGAAGAAGTAACTGATCACGATGCCCACGCCAACTAGCAAAGGCTCACTGCAGATTAGCTTGCCTCGCTTGCTGGCCTCACATAGTTCCGCTTGGTACATTGGCACCGTGGACGTCTCAATCCCGGTGCCGATTCCGCATACGAAACGGCCAACCATCATGTGTGGAACGGAATACGCCGAGCATTGCAGTATAGCACCGATCTGCAATGGTTAGCCAATACAACTTGGGTAACGCTTTGATGCGTACAGACTCACAATAACCCAAGTCATTGCAAACCACATGGCGCGTCGGCGTCCCAACCAGTCGCCCAACAGGAAGTTCACTATGCACCCGGAAAAACACCCCAGATTGTATATTGAGACGATGATACCCGTTAGACTGTCGTTCGGATGGCCCATGGTTTCGAGGTAGTTGTCGTTTTCTATGATTCCGGAGAAGACGCCTTGATCGTAGCCTAGATTTGATTAGATTGGTTGAAACAGCACCATCAATGAATCTCACCGAAAAGAATAAATGCCATCCCACAAGTCACCCAAATGGCAGCTTGGAGGGCAAAGCCCGTCCCAAACACGTCGACCTTCACCATATTGACTCCTGTCGTACCTATTCAAACTGTAAAATGATTCACGGCACATCCTCCGAGCATCAAAAAGGACAACCCTTATTTATACCCCCCTTCCCAATCACCACCCCGTAACACAACAACCGGGGAATAACCTCCCCCAACACAGATAGCCCTTGCATCAGGCAATTAGAAACGCCCGTTATCCCAATCCGGCAATCCGAGCCACATACTACCCCGGATTGCGGGCGCTACCCCGCACACCCGCTAAACCCAAACCGATACTTCCTTTATAGGGGATCGACGATTGCCCATGTGTTTTCGGTCTGTTCTCCGGTCCTCGTGTCAGGGGTGCAGACGTCATAGTACTATTTAGTGGTGTATGTTATGGTGCTTGGCGGTGCCTGAGTCCATCCCGGCTGGGTGTAATGTTGGAATTGCCGTGTGGCGTGTGTGTGGTAAAACCCCAGGTGTTGCAGAATGACCTCATGCGTTTGGCTAACGGTAACGTTCTTATCGACTTGTACTAGTGAAAGTCATAGCGGCAGATGGTGGGAACAATTACAATTGTAGGCGGTTTCTCATAGTACAGAGACGGCCATTGCGGAAGGTATTCGAGGCCGGAATCTCCCCGCATAGAAACAACACGGCTAACTTTATTGGAAATGTTTTATTGAATTCATGACTCAAGTGGGCATATAGTCGGCTAATGCCACCCCCAAGGCTACTGTCATGCTAGCAATTCATAGATAGATTGAATTCAGCGTCCCGTATTGATATTGAAGCCCTGATTAGTTAAAGAATAAGAGAGCAAGTTTCTGAAGACAAATTGATGCATCAAATCCAGATGAGGGATTATTTGTGATAACTAGCAGGATATACACCTTTTGAGTTATCCTGCATTAGAGCCCTGTCGCCGCGGATGGTCTCAAATCACATATACCAAGCTTGTCAGGGATGTACACTCACCAGGACAGCATTCATAGCCAAGGGCTTATGCTGGCCCAAAGCCAAGCAAGGTTGAAGGAAGAACGTTTTTCCATGACCAGCAAGTGAATTGAAGCAACCACTACTGATTTCTTCCACTGGAAATCCATCGTCCATTCCAAGGCTTTTTAGACTAACAATTGTCAATCCAATCCGCATTTCTGTGCTTGATTTCTGCGTCTTGTATTCTGGTCGAATCTCACTCCACCTCCTGAGTATCCATGACAATGTGACGATCATATTGGTACCGATGTATGGGCCGAGGGGCATTGCAAATACATAGTGTTCGGACCACTACCAGTATCATGCCTGGAGACCATAGGGATAGACGTCACTCTAGGGGCTCTGGTATGCCATGGGATAGTGGAAACGACCACAGACAAATATGGGAATAAACAAAATCAGTCGGATACTGAAGTTGAATTGACAGCAACAGTACCGACGCCGCGCCCAGATTCCGTGTGTGGAATTCCAAGCAAGCCTCAATACGTGGTGACAACCGCGATCTATTCTGCCCTAATGGGAACCGATGCCTCTTCAAGCATCAAAGCCCGTGGGATAAGGATGATTGGGAGATTTCGTACTCGCACTTACAGCGCAGGGTCGGCTACTGGTTTTGCTATTCCCAGCATTCGATTCCCCAGCAAGCGATACTAGAAGAACCTGGTCTCAGTAAAGCTGACGGACCTTGTAATGGCACTGGAGGACCGGATGAGAGCGGTTATTTAGATGATGAGACCCTCAATAATGACTGCAGATCACCCACGAATAGTTTCCTATACGAATGCCGATTCAAATCCAATCTGGCGCGCGACTTCGCGCTGCAGATAAACGGGATCATAGTACGCCAGACATACCCTAGGGAATATTTCCACAGAGGGAAACTTTAGCCCTAGTGGTCTCAAGATTTTTGTGATCGTTTTTTCTGGGGTCTTCTCTGAAAGAGCTAGGAATACTGTTTATCTGGTGACGGACTTCTCCCACCAGCCAAAGGGTTGCAGCATCTGGTCGCGGCTTCACTGAATACTGCGGAGAATCGAGGAGGGTTAGAAAGTTTAAGGCACTACCATACGGGATAACTGCTGTACCAAGTCCATACGAACCATCAGTTGAATGCACGTGCTATCTAGAAAGCGTTTCATACCTCAATAAGCTTAGTAGTGGTTTATATACTTTTCATAGCATCATATTACATCCGCCAACTGCCGTTGCAACACTCCGTCGTATGGAGGCTCGGGCCGCAAATTCATCCCCGCTGCAAAGAATGGGAAAGTGAAGGCACTCCTTTCTTCAACCACACTGCATTCTTTTTCAGTAAACTCTCATTTTGCTACCATAATTGATTCATGTCAATGTCTCGGCATTAATGAGTCTGTCCTCTGCGAAGCGAGCGACTGTCCGGGTTCGCGCCTTGGCGGACAGTTCTTGTACGAGTCCTTCCCTGGCCCAATTGTCCTTTTCATGCAGTCAATCATTGTCTAACGCGAATAACCCACAGGCTTCATATCTACTTCCAAGCGCAAATACAATACACCCCAGAGTAAAAGACGGCCAGAGTTCCACGACTACTTCGTCACACATCTCCCCTCGTCGTCGCTCCATCCCGATCCTCGAGGCCCGCTCGCGCCCTATCATAAACTCCCCCGTTCGGAGTCAGTACCTCATACCGGAGAGATCTCGCATTCGCCTACGTCGTTCCAGGCTCTGACGAACCGCGATGCCACCGTTGTCCGGATTCCGCTTCGCAGCGCGAAACACCATTTCGGCGCCTCGAGCTCTCGGGGTACTCGTCGGTCAAATGAAGACACGCACCAGGCAGGTGTGATTGATTTGCCCGCGTTTGCGAATCGACCACCGGCGTCGCTTACAATTAGACGAGGGGCTGGTCTTGGGCCTCGTGAGAATCGCGCGGCGGACAGTGCCAGCGGTGATCCGCAGGTATTCTACTTCGGAGTCTTTGACGGACACGGTGGGACGGAATGCAGCACGTTCCTTAAGGAGAATCTACACGAATATATCCAGAACACAGCGGCGGAATTTGAATTGCGGTCGAGTCTGAGGGACAAAGGGGAGGAGAAATCGAAAGAGGAGCCCGAGACTCTGCCCATTGTCCAGGGAGCGAACCGGCAACAAATTGGCGAGTTGGAAAAGGAGCTCGTGAAGAATTGGCGGAGTCTTGTCGGGGGTTACTTCAAGAGATTTATCCCGCCTCACTTCTCCTATTTCGGACGAGATGATGTTGCAGAGCAGACCGACAGAAAGTCCCGCAAAGAAGGCGTCACCATCGAAGAAGTGATGGAATATGCCTTCCTACATGCGGACTACGACTTTGTGTCAGCACAAGCGGCGAGACGGGACAACGAACTGGTAAAGGCTGGCCAGCCTCTACAACAGGACGAGATCCTCTACGGTGCAGACCATCCGGCGGCGAACGAGAAGATCTCAGGCAACACCCGCTTCAAGGGCGGAAGCACCGCCAGCGTCGCACTCATCTCCACCCCGTCCCCAGCACCGTTCTGGTATCCGACCACGTCGTCTAGCTTGTTGGTGTCGCATGTAGGCGACACAAGGATGCTGCTATGCTCCACAGTCACCGGCGAATCCGTCCCTCTGACTTCAAACCACCACCCATCCTCACCGCCCGAGGCGACCAGACTCCGTCGCTACGCCACGACATTCGTGACCGACTCATTTGGCGAGGAACGCATGAGCGGTCTAGCCAATACCCGTTCCTTCGGAGACGTCCAATCCAAACGCATAGGTGTTTCTGCAGAGCCCGAAATTTATCGCCTTGAGATGGCTCCCGCCGAGTTCTCGTTTCTGGTCCTCATGACCGACGGTATCAGCGGGTCTCTCGACGACCAGGAAATCGTCGACATTGTCAAGGAGGCCCGCACTCCGGAAGAGGCGTCCAAAGACGTGGTCAGCTTCGCAACTGAAGTCACCAAAACCGGGGACAATGCTACCTGCCTCGTTGTCCGGTTAGGCGGTTGGGAGCGCCGACTGGAAGGCGGGCTGGGAAGTATGGGAACGAAGGAGTCTCGCGAATGGCGTAGACAGGAAGCTACTGATCCGCGCAGGTCACGGACATGATGATTGATATTCCCAAGGTATCTATGGTTTGCTTTTTCTTGCTTTATTGTACATAGTTTCCTGGTGTCATCTTCGGTTCGGTTATTGGTCACCGGTCACCGGTCACCGGTCACCGGTCACCGGTCATTGGGTTCCTTTCTTTTTTGTTTTTCTTTGTTGTACATATAAAATTGATACTCACAAGGCTTTGCTGGTTTTCTTTTATTTGAATGTCGAGCATTACCGGGTTTATGGAAGGAGATTAATATAACGGGAGGATCAATATTTGCAAACAAGGACATGTCTTCTTTTTCATTTATGAAATAACCATTCGAGTTAGTCTGCATTTTTCCCTGTGTACCAACAATGTTTCAAAAGATTTTAGTGACCTACGACCCGGACAATTCTCGTACAATGAGCCGACATGACTGACAAACAAATGGAGGTGAACCTGTGAATAAATAAGTATGGGAATTGATCATTGCTGTACAATCGCCCTTATGTATTTGCTTTCTTCCGTATGCCGAAAGGCAATTAAATTGGTTACTATTCATAGTCTTCTAGAAAAAACTAGATTGTCCAATGTAGATCGTAGAGAGGGATTGCCAGATCGCAGGCATGGTTACGACGTTACGTCTCCTGCCCCCTGAGCTTCCGCAAACAGTGGAGTAGTAGCCTCGGTGCCTATGAGAGAGAAAGATAACCGGAAAGAGGACATGATGCCAGCTTCCAGTTAATAGCATCTTCATTATACTTTGTAGAACAGACCACAGCTCCTACTACAAAATTGACCAGCTGTTTGCTATTCCCAGCTAAAGCGCACCGGCGGACGTCAGAGTTCAGACCCTGATCGTGTTATCGCCCTTATCGGCAACACGCACGCTTAGTTAGTTCGGATCTCCTGACTAACTTTCTTCTTTCTTCCTCAACTCTTCGAGGTTTCTCTCTACCTCGAGTGCTTCTTC